CTCTAATAATATTTTTCGCTAAATTTCTCCAGAGGATAACTTAACATTTAGAAACCATTAAGGCTTAAATGTCATAATAAATGCGTGGTTCATATAATATTTCGAAAAAGCCCATTAAGAAAAATGATAACTGTATTACGTTTGTGGTGTGAGCTAGGGTCACTGACTTTGAATGTCAGCCAGAGAATCTATCCCACAACCTTAAAGACGCTATATTACACAGAACTGAATTTTGAGCTTTGTTATAATGCTGTTTTCTCCTCACAACATATCTGGAGTTGTGTTTTGCTTTATTCACGCATGACTGAATAATTGTGGTTTATTAGTCTGTCTGTTTTTGATGGGAAAACAACATTCTAGAAAATATTGGCTTTTTAATACTGAAAACATGGCATTAAATCTTGAAAAACATGTATTTTTACAGTGAGCGCAGCCACCTCTCCACAGATCTGACCTGTATCTTGGCCTGGAAGAGTCACCTGCTCGTCTCCATGTAGCTAGATTTAATGCTATACTGTGGAACATTTCAGGCAAAACAGTGATACGCATGGAGCCAAGCTGGTGATGGACCCCTAATGTTGTTTCCTCATCGCAAACAGACCTGGAGTTGTGTTTTATTTCATTCACACACATTTAACACACAAACCCTGCATGTTAAAAGTTAGCTCTTGAAAACTTGAAAACACTGCATGACATCACAAGGTGGAACAGAGCATTTTAAGCTTTGGAGATGACTAATATTAAAACAATTACTCAAACATGCATGAATGAAATCATAATTCCTGGTCTGTTTTTGATGAGGAAACATTATAACATGCCTTAAAGGTTAGGGGTGTGCAAAAATATTGAACTATCGATATATCGTATTCTTTAATTTGATGATACAGTATCGATATCGTGGGCTGCTGTATCGATATATCGTCAAGCGTATTTTTAGGTATATTTTACTAAATTAGTTTGTGTAAACAGTGTTGACATTTCCATTTTTTTGAGTAAAATGGGTGTTTTTCCCCATATCTTTGCACAGACTTAATGGACTTAGTATCACAGCCATGATTTAGCCTTTGTTTTTCACTGAACTGTATCGAATTGATTTGAAATATATCGTACCGAATCGTATTGAATCGAAAGTGCACTGTATCGAAAAGCATATTGTATCGTGACCTATGTATCGAGGTATGCACTATATCGACAACTTAATACCCAGCTCTATTAAAGGTGCACTATGTAACTTTTTCGTTGGGGTTCCATCACCTGCTTGTTTCTATGGATATGTCACTGCTGTGCCTGGAATGTTCCACAGTATGGCATTAAACAACGTCGCTTTACTTTTATTCAATTACGTGTGGTTTTAGAGCACAAAAATACCTAGAAAAAACAAGCATTCTGACTGTGAGCGAGGCTCCCTCTCATCAGATCTGACCTGTAACTTGGTTTAGTTCGGCCTCCATTACAATAGAAAAGTTTAGACAAAGCAATCACATCACCACGGAGAAAAGTATTGGACGGAGTTGATTTGACAAGAGTTGATTTCGCGTTATATTGGACCTTTAAATTGCCTTCTGATCCATTTAACATAACATACCGTACACAATTCTCAAGACATTTCAACAAGCACACAAACATCATTGAAATACATGGCAAGACATCCACAAACAACAATCCCGACAACAACATTTGCATGGGCTTCGGGGTCGGGCGGTGTCAAGCTCCTATCATGGCGTGTAGCGTTCGTTGTTATGTAAATCTGTATGCGGAATGTGGACTAGCAAACATCTCCATCATAAATCATAGGCTGGAGTTGATTGCGTAACTGAAAGTTGTGGGGCAATCACTATTTACCGGTTGCTCCTTTGACATTTACTGCTGGCTATATACAACATCCTTCTTGATTGTATCCAAGATCTCCTCTGAGGTCTCGACTCCATTCTGTTTTGCGAACAACTAATTAGGGAGTTAATTTTGAAACCACTATTTGGATGCGTGCAATTACTTCGAGCTAGGATAGGCAAACGTGTATTATCAGACAGGTTGGACTTCCCAATTTACTAAAACACAGTTAAGATCATTATATTTAAGAAATTTGCAAAAACATTCACTTTGGTTTTGCCAATTTCACCATTTTTTTAGGTTCAAAATTTTACTTCGTCGGAAATCGCGACAAAACACCATTTTCCTAACTGTTATCTAGAGCAACTCCTCTAATTTACACAGAATTTATTATCTGACAAATACAAATAAGAAAACACCTTTATTTTGTTGAATTAATCTTTAAAGTAAAGTAAAAATGTTGAAAAATGTGGATAATTTTAAGGCAGAATTCTCTCTATTGTGACGTCATCAGTCTGTTTAAAACTTTCTACTTGTAATTTTCAACATATTTTTCAGCTTTTCTTCACAAATTGCTTCTTGATTGGTGTAAAATTATCATTCATATTTGCAATAGTTACAATCTGACCAAATTAAATCAAAATTTGAGAATAATAAAAATCTGGAACAGTACTTTTTGGGGGTCAGCATTTATCATGTGTCCCTTTTCTTTGTATTACTGGGAGTTTTTGGTTATTTTTTAGCTATATGGTAAGTTTTCATCCATTAAAGTTTGAATTAATAACTTCTATGGCTCATTACAGATGCAAATTAAGTCCTGAAGTGTAGCATTCGGCTGTTTATTTATTGCAGCTTATGATTTTTGAAAGGTCCTAATTTACACAGAATTGCCTCTTGTGAGCTTTAGGCCATGTCATAATGTTCCCTAATTGAAAACATACCTGGAGTTGTGTTTGTTTCATTCGCACATGTTCACAAGGCATACTGAGTTTAAAACACAGTGGGGCGCTTCTTGTATTACAACATGACATCACAAGGTGGAACAACACAACTCCAAGATGAAACAGAATGAAACAAAACACAACTCCAGGTATGTTTTTGATAAGGAAACAACATTATAACAGAGATAGTATGGGCCCTTTAACGATATTGTAGATTAAGAAGAGATACATTTACTTAAGTAGAAGTATCACATTAAAAACGCTACTCAAGTAAAAGTATTGAAGTACCCAAAGCATGTCAGAGCAATGACGTACCCATAGAAACAAGTAGGTGACGAACCCTCAACCAAAAAATGGCACAGTGCACCTTTAAGTAAATTACAGATAAGTAAAAGTACAGTCTTTTCCTACTTTTACTTTGTTCCGACAAGTAATACTCTGCTGGGGTGACTTGGTTGTTTTGACTCATAACATCAGAGTCTAGAACTACACGTGCAGCCCAAAGCTAAAGATGCCCAAGTGGAGTTTGCAAAGTGAAAAAGGGCATATCCACCCCCCGCTGAGGATGGAACAATGTTGTGCTTAATAGGACTTCTGCATTCACTGGCTTTGGTGCTTTCTTCTTGCACAAAGGCAGAGCGTGGCAATGCGATGTGCATATTAAAGCATGAACTGTTTTATAAGGCGGCTTCAACTCATACATAAATTTAAAGTGCAAAGTAAACACCACGACATAGTTAACATCATTAAGCACACGATTTTGCTAAGAAACAGCAATGCAGTTTTCCCAAGATTTACAATTTTGGTGAATTTTAAAATTTTTACTTCTTGGTTGGCCATGGGCAGCTGATGCAATTCTAACTGCTAGCTGGGCAACTATTAAAGAGCCAAAGCTTGTCCATTTTTACAAAATAGTTATCACCTGACCAAGAGAATGTACACTATCACATTTATTTTGGTAAAACACATTCATACTGTCAGAAACATGTTCATTGTGCATACATGTTACTGACTGATCAATTGATTGGCTGATTGGTTTATGTATTCATTTATTTATTTTCAACTTTTCCTCACAAGACATTTGACAGGTGTTAAACTATGACACATATTTACCACAAGTTCTATGTTCTATCCCACCAAACACACACTACCAGCCAAATGTTAAGGAGTGTTGTAGTCAAGACCTCACTCATCGAAACCAAGACCAGTCCAAGACCACAAGTTCCCGAAACCAAGACAAGACCAAGACTTTTAAAGGTCAGGATTGAAACAAGGGCTAGATCTCTGAAGGCGTTTTCAGGCCGACAGAGGACCGTGCTGGTTCCGGTTCCCGCACATAATCTTGAACCGACTCACGTGTTCACGCCGGAAATCAGAGCGTTCGGGAACCAAAAAGTTGGTTCGTAACGGGAACCAAGTAAAACTTGTTTTTTCTAAGCGAAACGCGACGACACAGAAGACGTCAGCACGTTCATCCGGGTCACACGCAGTAAAATAAACAAACAAAGAGCAACTGAAACTATCACATATTAAATTAAAAGTTTGAAGTCTACAAAAACTAGTACGTACCACTCATTTTGCATGTATCCGTGTATGCCTAATAAGAGGACATCTTTGTATTCGGTGTCGCTGCCGTCTTCTCCACAGCAGATCGATGTTGTAGCAGAGCTTGGCACACATAAATAATAACTTGTATAAGAACAAATGCTCACTGGTGTTGATGATGCAATCCATGATTATTATTTTCCTCTCTGTGGCCTTGTTTTTATTTGGTGGTAAATCCACACCCTCTGTCGATGACACGTCATGGGTTCCCGTAAATAGTATGAACGCGGGTCGTTCACTAGTGAGCACTTTGGTTCCCAGTGGAACTGGCATGGGAACCCGCACCAGCACCGTTCTGACTGGCCTGAAAGTAGAGGTCTGCGCGGGACAGAATTTTGAGTCCCGCGCCCGCCTGCTCCCGCACTGTACAGTCCCGCGCCCACCTGCTCCCGCACTGTACAGTCCTGCGCCCACCCGCTCCCGCAAAGAATTGTAATTTTCAGCGTACGCTGGGGGACTGTCTGTGTAGCATACGGAAGGACTGTCCGCGCGGCGTATGCGGAGGGACTATTTACCACTTTCTACGTTTCAGATACATACAGAAGACATTAAATATATGATGCAAGATGTACGCAATAATGTAGCAAAGAAATAAAACAAAAAACTTTATATTCAAATGCTCACCTTTTGCTTTGTTGACAGCGCTGCAAACCATTGGCCTTCTCTCGAGGAGTTCATGATGAAGGGATCTGAAATGGCTTTAAAATAGCAGGTACTTAGTCTGGGTCAAGAGCAGTGATAAAAGCAAAAAGTGGCTACTTCTCAGTTATTTTGTGTTTATTTTTTCTTTACTATCTTCCATATGTGTTCATTCATAGTTTTGATGCCTTCAGTGAGGTTCTAAAATGTAAATAGCCAGATAAGAATCAAGAAACCGTGTCCAAACTTTTGACTGGTAGTGATATATCTTTGTCTCTCATCACAGTCAGATTTTTGGCTTCTAGACTTTGACAAGAACACCAAAATGTCACTTAGATAAGATAAATTGCCATTTTTAGAGTTTTCGAATTGCAAGCAAAGAGCAGTGTTTACCTGCAAATGTGTCAATGGCAGAGATTAGTGAGCTAGCAGCCAAATCAATAAATCGACTTCAAACCAGCAAGATGCCATTTTGTGACAAGATATAAGTTAAAAAGCATCTGACAAACATAAAGACAGAAAGATTCATTACTTACCAGTTTCGATTGTAGTTTTTTGAGCAGAAAATCAGCTCAATCACTCACACAGAGGAGGCCATCTTGCTTCTCCAGTCGCAGGTGTCAAGGCTGTCAAAATTTGGTCCGTGATTGGTTGAGACAGCTGTCAATCAAACATTTGTCGACGCCTCACCTTCCCACAATATCAAAATGGGCATTATTATCTGATTATCATGATATTAAAACCCGAATTCTTTGGGGAAAAAAAACACAACCTCAAAAAATCAATAAATAACGGACTGCTCCTGGCTAGTCTTTATTTTTATTATACTGCATTGACTTATTGCAATTTTCTTATGAGAAAAGGGGATTCTAAAAGATTACTGCTTTAATATAAGAAAATATTAATATAGACGGGCTGCTGTGTAATCCTTGGGCTTTATATGCATTTTTATTGAAGATGTCAGAAGAAATTGGTGTTCTTTTTTTTTTTTTTTGAAAAAGTTATACGAAAGAAATATAAATGAACCACTTCTTGAGAAAAATACTAAGAATTTGAATTTAAAGTATAAAAGTTCCAAAGTGTACCTTGTGTACCAATATACTGACATCCAAATTTACTATAATGTTTAGATTTTTATTTTTTAAAGATGTAACTTTTTGGTTGGACAGCTGTGTTAAACAGCTCTACCTTACATTTATTTCAGGGGTCACCAAAGTTTATTTATTTATTTTTTTTTTTTCTCTGGGGGCCACATTATCACTCCTGATTGTGACAGGGGCTGGGGTCGGGTCAGCCGTATAACAGATCCAGATTATATTGTTTGAAAGCCGTCACATTTTCTTTACATATCAGACAAACTGCACGGTCCTTACACTGAACAAAAAAATAAATGGTCGTCCACTGTTCTTTGAAAACTTGGCACTCAGTCAACTTTTCGTATTTTAACACTTGTCATTTTGCTGTCCTTAACTGCACTAGAGTACTCTGCGTGTGCATTGACTGTCACTGTTTGAACTCAGGCTTGTCAGGTGACTAAAATTCGGCGACAAATGTAAATACGTCAAATGATAATTTAAATATAAATACTTCATTTAAGTATAATTTTTTAATTGAAAAAAATCAAGAAAATACAAGATGCAGATGTGTTATTATTTGCCCAAAAAAAATGCCATGACAAGTTTTGAGAATTGTCTCATAGGGCTGGTTCAAGTGGTGGGGGGCAGAGGGGCTGGAGGGCCGGTCAAAGGGGCGTAGAGGGTCGGAGTCAGGCCTTAGTTTGATGACCCCTGATTTATTCAATTACAGGTTTGTTTTATAGCTAAAAAATACCATTCTGACTGTGTGTGTGGTCACCTCTCCATAGATCCGACCTGTAACTTGGTCTGGTTTGGTCTCCATGGAGATAGAAAGGTTTAATGTTATACTGAAACATTCCAGACAAAGCAGTTACGTCTCAGTGGAAAAAAGCATTTGACGGACCTTCCATCGGAAAAGTTTCACAATGCGCCTCAGAAAATGCATCATAAAACATTTCACGTACTTTTCCATTCATGAAAATTCCATTGTAACAGCTACAAACACTACCACATTAGCTGAACAATGCTAAGCTAACAGTTGCTTTCACCGTACTCCCGAAAGTGACAACGCCATGACAACAACGCCACAACAACAACCCCAGTGGGCTTGTTCCACCAAATACCCATTTCCATTGCATTGAACCCAATCCTCTTGCCTTTAATCCAGCAGATTAAGGACTGCCCTGTAAATCCAAATAAGAGGCTTCAAAAGTCCACTCAGAAGCCCACAGAGACTTAGCCTATGCACCGGGGGGACCATCTTAAGCTTTACAATGCATTTCAACTGTCAGCGAGGGCCCCTATAGTCCACGGATGACCCCGGGGTAACATCTGTGTGATTGACATCTTACACTGACCCTGTTGATTTCCTCCAGAAAGCATGTTAATCTGCTATTTAGTCTCGCATGGTGTTTTTTGAACCACCGAGCTCTGCGGGTGAGGCTGGAAAGCAGAGTGGAGCTTAATGACAGCTTTAGTGGATTAACGCTGACATGCTGTAGTAGCTTTGTTTGGCAGACATTGTTGTTTGGGACACATCGCTGTTTCAGATCAACCACACGCAGTCTCCCATCTTCAGTTCATTTGCAGTTCATTTGGGAATATGCAGTACTTTTTATCTGTTTTTGAATTGTTCAGTTTAGTTTATCCAACGTTTTAAAGTGACACACTGCAGGTGAATACAAAAAACTATTAAACTTAGACACATATTTGAAACTTTGGTTCTAGTTTAAGCACAAACATATAAGAAAAAAACGCATCACAAGTTTATGTTTTCATATAAAATGCGTAATTTAATATGCAAAAACGGCCAAAAATGACAAATTTGGGGGCATTTAAACAGAAACATGAATACGTTTTAAATCATTGCTTCTTTTTGTTGACATCTTAGATACAAAAATATACAGAGGGGATTTTGGATATCATATTTAGTATTTGAGTTAACCAGATTTGACAAAAAAATTTACCAAAAAAATTGAAATTTCATCAAATTTTTTGAGTTAAAGCTAGAATAAAGCAACTTGGAAATAAATAATAAAAAATCCATCTGTACATTTCATCAAGATCAATAAAATGAAGTACAAGTTTGGAAAGTTTAGTGTGTATAGATGAGTTAAGAAATTATCCTTGATGTATTTTGAGAAAACAGTATTTAAAGTTACAGTCTCCAATATAATTTTATGGTGATGGCTCTAAATTGATTGAATTAAATATTAAAACATATTTTAGTGCAGAGTGGACTGTTTTGTTGTCTTTATGTGAACGCTTACTGATATACTCCGAGGCCAAACCGACCAAAAAACAAAAACAAAAATTGAAAAAAAAAATTGTTTTGCCTGGAGTGTCTCGCCTTAATCAATATTAGTCTCTCCCCGCTGCAGTTGCGATAATCAAAGTAGCAAAGCCTGATGGGACTTTGGGAATAGATCCAATATCCCATCAAACTGTTGGAAGGCTCTTACAACAAGTTACATTTGTCATTTGAAGTTATAAACAAAAATGGAGCGCAATTTGTTCCAGTGACTATAGTTATCAGTCCTCATTAATTTTCTTGACAATATAAACATAACTTGGCACTATTTAGTCGTCGGCTTATTTCAGAGACACATCATCTAACCATAACCGTAACATAGAGTTGAGAAAATTGAGAAAAACAAGTTAAAAATACATACATTCCAGATCAAAATACTAGTACTTTTTCCTCATTAGCAGAAGGTCAAAAGTTCAGTTCCCACATTAAGTCACTCTGTAGTTGGCAGTATTTCCTGTCAACGCAAAACATGACCTGTAAAGTTCTCGTTTGTATCCAATTACGGGTGTTTTATTGCTCAGAAATACCTTGAGAAACATGCATTCTTTCTGTGAGCGGGCTTGCCTCTCCGCAGATCTAAAATAGTCAGCTACCAGTTTGGTATTCCTGACCTAATTCAAGATTTGGATTGCATTTGAAAAGATGAAAACAAAAGTAAAACAAATGCACAAGACAGAAATCTTTATCTCCAAGTGAAAAGGTAGAAAGAAATAAGTTTCACGAAAGCCTGTTTACTTCCGTCTACAAAGTTCCCAGATATTCTAGCCTTGTGTGAAGAGAGTCTTTGCTGCTCTAGAATGCTAAACAACCACTTATCTACTTTGCGCCTGGAGGTACTTTTTAAACAAGGAGATGATCTGTCCAGACATCCACCTCCTCCTACTCTTTTCTACTCTTTAGCTCCGTCAATAATGACCCAGCCTGACTTCACATTCCCCACACTCTTACACCTTGTACAAACCTGCTCTGCTTCTCTGGGCTATCTTTTCTGCTGTTTTGCACGATTTTGTTGGCACGGCATGTTTGTCGAAACTGGACAACTTTTCTTGTATCGAGTTAATGTATGCAGAGGTGGAGCACAACAAATTAAAAGTATTAAAGTACTCTACTCAAGTTTCAATTCGAGGTATCTGTACTTAAAAATCTACTAAAGTAAAGTGGATGCATCTTACTTTGACTTCATTACATCTCAGAGCAGGTATCTGTACATTCTACTCCACTACATTTTTGAACAGGACTGAAAAGTAAAAGTATTTCTTATTATAGTTTGAGACTTGCTGAAAAGGCTGAGGAAATAGCTGGGGAAAAACAACAACAACAACAACTATACATTCAAAATTCAGTTGTTTCTACTGAACAAAATTCGGCACAAATCTGTATCAAAATCACCTCATTTGAAAAGCTCAAAATCTGCGAAATACTTTTACTAAGTGCATTTTTAAACAAGCAATCTGATACTTTTACTTAAGTGGATTGTTTCATGTGATACTTTTACTCATTAGTATTTTTTTTTTCCCTCCTCGGGTATGTGTACTTGTACTTATGCAACAAAACTTCAATACTTCACCCACCAATGATTGTATGTCAAAACACGCCTAATCCAGGGCTAATGAGATGACATAAAAGAGCGGAGTGTGCCCCCGAGCCACTGCCATGTCAAATACAATACTTCGGGAGCGTCACACAAACATGCATCCCCTTAAAGTTATGGTTAAGATGGAGAGCTGCTGGAACGCAAGAGGTGCCAGAAGTTTTAAGTTAGAGATTTAAATTGCTTTCGACGTCTTGGGTTTTGCAAAACAGCTCAAGGCATCCTGCGTAGTCATATGGTACTGCAAGTTGAAATACGCAGATGATATAAATCTATTGGCGGGTATTTTCAGACACAGGTCTTTAATCATTACATCGACTGTGATGATTACACTTGCACAAGATTGTATAATGAGCAGCCAAAATAAGTAGATGAAACAGGTACCAAACTGCAAATGTCGTTTTCAGGTCATTGAGAAAATCTGATTTTTCAAATAGAGGGCACATCAGTTACAAATAATGCAAGTTTAAAGGTCTCACATTACACAAAATTGTCTCTTGTGATCTTTAAGCCATGTTATACTGTTGTTACATCATCAAAAAAAAGCCCGGAGTTGTGTTTTGTGTCATTCACACATGTTAGAACAACTTTTGATTATTAGTCTGTCAAATCTCCACCACTCAAAATGCTCTGTTTCACCTTGTGATG